CTCTCTCTCGCTCTCGCTCTCGCTCTCTCTCTCGCTCTCGCTCTCGCTCTCTCTTGCTCTCTCTCACTCTCTCTGGCTGTATCTATCTATCATCTATCTATCTCTGTCTGTCTCTCTATTTGTCTAGTATCTGGACTGGCTTCCTTAACATCATGTAATTAGTAGTGGAGCTACAACCTTGCTATGTCTGTCAGAGCTCAAAACTTGTGCTTCTGACTTTATTTTCTACCTCTGCAAAGAGTGTGGTCGTGTGGTATTTACTATCATATAGGTTGAGTGACATAAGCAAAAATTATGGCTGAAGAGGTCAAGAAGGCTTGCGGGGGGATGAGGCAACAGCTCTGCTGGTGACCCCTGCCCGAGGCTGCGACCAGGTTCTCTCCCCCGTATGCCTGCTGCTCCTAGACCTCAACTTATTTAAGAAAGTGACTGTGGGGCGGTGCACAGTTAGAAGCACCAAAGAACTCTACACGTGAAGAGTCTACTTTCTGGCGAGAGAAGCCCCAGGCCTGCTTTAGCATAGAAGGGCTCAGACCCAGGTCCGTGCGACGCTAGGACCCAACACTTGACGACGCCCCTGGGGCATCCTTTCCGTACAGCAGAGGGGCTGCCTGCCGCCAGGCACACACGACTTCCTCAGCTGCTGCACGCCACGAGGCTGCAGCTGCGGGAGGTCAGGGAGCTGCCTGAGGCATGGCAGGAAAACACTGTGACCTCGCCTGGTTGTGGCCGGCACTCTAGTCCACACAGCTACTGGCAGTTCAGGGATGCCAGGTCTTTCCGAATATCCTAGCCCCAGGTTTCACAATGCTGGTGTGTGCTTCATGCATGCACCTAGGCGGTCGGCTTTAAAGACAGATTTTGCAGGAATATCTTATTGTGTCTGAATTCATCTGTCAGGGGTGGGAAAGAGCAGAGTGCTTATGAAAGAGGTGGTGTGGGCAGGGTGAAAGGTGGCCAGAGGGAAAACAAGAAGGAGGGGAGTTGGGGCCACTGGTGCCCAGCGAGGGAGAGGCAGCTGTAGGAGGAATGTGCAGAACCCCCCCCCAAGATGTGTGCTTATGCACCCCACATCTCCCTGGGTGCTCCTGGCACTGTCCGTGCAAGGTCTGCTTGAGGCTGCAGCCGGCTCCCAGGTGGAGCCTGGGTGGCATCAAGGACAGCATCAGGCTAGGATGGTGTTCGTCCATGAGGGGTCTAGGTTGGGATACATAGCCCCCCACCCTGCCTTGAGTGACACCAGCTGAGCCTCCATTTCTGAGGCTGTGGTTTGAGCTTTAGAGGAGGGGTCTGCACATTACAGTAAGAATGAGTCTGTGCTCCTCCTGCTTCCTGTCCGAGTCCTGACTGTGGACAGCCACCTCATGGAACAGGGAGAGGAGAGGATTTGAACAAGGGTCCTGAGAGAATAGAGCCAAATCGTGTATGGAGCCTGGGTGTGGTGCCTGAGGAACCCATGGAGGGATGGAGGAGACCCCGTGGTGAGAGTCTGCAGGTGGCCTGACATTCCTATGGCCCCGTGAGGCCTGGTCCCAGGGCCGCCTCCATCCTCACCCTTTTTTCTCTTCTTGTCCATGAGGCCCATGTCATGGACCTCAGTTCCCGCCTACTGGACCCACTTTCCCACCTCAAGTCACTGTCGGGAGCCACAGTCCTTCTTGAGTAGACCCGGGTACCCAGCCTCTGTACCACCTGGGCTTCTAGAATTATGGAGAACTTGGCTTTGGCTGAATAAACTCTACTTCCAGAGATGGGCCTCGGGACTCGGTGGTGTGGACTCACCCCACGGCCGCGTGGCACTGTGGGTCCTTCCTCGCAGGAATAAGCGAGGTCATGAGAGAGCTCCCTCAGCTCAGGACAGGCACGCAGCGAGCACTCGATAGATACTGGAGAAAGGTCCAGACGGTCAGCGTTTGCTAGCGCAGCGCGAGGCCCACCGTGCCTGCCCTGCCCCCCCCAGCACGTGCCCACAGACCCAGGCGTGCTGCGGTCTTTGCCCTCACGCTTCTGTCCAGGCACAGTCCTCGCAGCGATTCCATTATCTTTACCGGAACGTGGTTACTGTATGGGGCTGCGCTGGATTCCAGCGATCAGAAGGCAAGCTGGGCCTGTTTTCTGGGAGAGCAGAATGGACCCCAGGTGGGGGCCTGGCCTGCTGGACGTGCGTACTGGGAGCTGCCTGCCTTCTGCTAAAAAGGAAAGGCCGGCTCTGGGGCAGGTGGGCGAGGTGAGTTATCAGCGAAAGCAGTGGCGTGTGGGAGCGCAGCTCGCGGCTAGCAGGGCCCCTTTGCTCCATGTGGAGGCTTATGGGGTGTGCACCCGGGATGTGGCTGGGCGGCTGTCCGCCCAGGTTTCAGAGGTGAAGGAGAGAGTGACCCAAAACTACTTCAGCATAAACAGAGCACCTTATGACCACCGGTCATGAGATAGAATGCCTACCAAAAGAAAGGAGAGGGCAGGGGGACAGGTGGCACAGAGGCAGAGGGAGAGAGCCACAGAGCCAGATGGAGCTTGGCTGTTAGGCAGGCAGGACACCCAGCTGGAGGGTGCCGGGTGTCCAGCACGCCCAGCCCAGGCGTCTGCAGCTGCATTGCGGTGGCCGAGTCTACGTTACCAGCCTGGAACTGGTGTAGGAGAGAGAGGCTGGGAGACTGGGACCCGCTTTCCCTCGATGCAGCGCTGCACGTGTGCAGAGCGCTGCGTTCTGAGAGGAGGGTGGAAGGCTTTGTCCACAAGAAAGGGTCGAAGGAGCCAGGAGGACAGCACCTGGAGAAGGGGGCATGTGGAGACCCAGAAATCTGAACAGGCTGGGAGGACGCGGCGCAGGCTTCCTGAGCTGCCAAAGACAGTTCCCCCCCTGTGGACATCGCGGCTGCTGCCCTCTCACCTGCAGCACCCGCCCCATCTGCCTCCAGGTGGGGGCTCCGGGCCACGGGGCCTCTTCCTCCTTCATCCAGGATCTCACGCTGACACTGCTCTGACCCCACCGGAAATGACCAGTGCGCCCACCTTCCCTGCCCCGCTCCCCCTGCTTCCCTAAGAAGTCGGCCCCCCACACAGCCAGCCAGCATCTGTCAGGTTCGGATTCCTCACACCTTGCCCAGAACGGGAGCCCAGTGGGTGTCACAGGTGAGTTCTCTGGGTGACTCTGCAAGCCTCAGGGGCTCTGGTTGGGTCATTTGCCACTCTTCACCATGTGCTTCAGGCGTGGGAGACTTTCCTGGCTCCTGCTGGGAGGGTGATTATGTGGGGTGCGCCTGGGCCCAGCACTGAGGTCAGGATAAGCAAGGCAGCATAGTCCTGCCATGTGGCCTTGGGTAGCAGAGATCCAATCTGAGCCCCGAACCTCCTTTTGGAGCAGAAACAAAGAACGGAGCTAAGCTGAGAGAAGAGACCCTGGCACAGGGCAGCGGGTGCAGAGACTCCCAGGCATTCTCGGGATTGGAGTGTGCGCCACAGGCCATGCTGGGGATTTCCTCTATGGGCCTCAGCTTCCCTGAACGTAACGGTGTGCAGACAACAGGGGTACGTGCTCAGGACCACACAGATCGGCACAAAAATGGAAGTTCCAGGGCTGGAGAGGTAGCTCAATGGACCGAGTGCCTGCTTAGGCAAACGCGGGGACCGGGGTTCAATCCCCTGGCACTACATGCCACACAGCCCTGCCCCCAGGCACCCTGAGCTGGCCACCAGGACCAGGCATGGTAGCGTGCACCTGTAGTATCAGCGCTGGGGAGGCTGAAAACAGGAGGGTGACTACGAGTCTGAGCCGCATAGTGAGACCCTGCACCAAATGCATTCAGTAACTAAGTAAAGAAAATTTCCAAGTCTCTCATTGGTGTCAATTTTGGTAGGAATATCAGGATTATTCACAACCATGACCTTTTGCTCCTGAAAGAACAATTCATGACCCAGGACACCATAGTGCACATCTAGTACACAGAACCGCATCAAGAAAAGCAGCCATTTCTAGAGCAGGAGAGTTGAGGATCTGCTTTACAGTAGGTTTGAGCAAATGCCCTAATTGGGTGGACAAAGTATAAACACAAAGGAAAACAATCTACAATAACAGCTTGTTATTAAAAGTTGAAATAGAGTTCTAAATTCTTTGACCTATTTCTTAATTTAGTTTCATGAAAAGCAAATATTACATCCCAATTCTGAGGTCAGATTCTTTAAATAGATCAAAGGTTTAATAAGGAGAGTGATTAGATATCTCATGATTCT